CTAATTACACTGTAAGATATTTTGAGTTTATATCTGAGCCTCTCTCTGGAGATTCTGACTGTGATGGGCAAGGACAGGTTATTTGCCTTTTGTAAATAGTGCCTCCAGCACTAAGCCTAGTGCCAGCATACAGAATAAATACAAGAGTTCTAGACTGAGTAAATAGAAGAATCACAGCCAAACGAATGAGTTAAATATGCCACTGAGTTCATCATATATGTCTTCTGTTTTCTCAAATACAAATATAAAGGTACATTGATATAGTCTTTCTTTCACACTTTCACTTACTGTTTTTTAAAAATGCACAGTAGTATTAAAGGAAATTTTGTAAGAACTGTTAAGTGTAAGGCCCTACCACCCTCATACTACTGTTTTCCTTATCCCAGGTTTCCTTTTCCTTTTATTAAAAAATTTTTTTGGCCTATATACTTCCCTTTAGCAGATATTGAATCAAATGTTGTATACTTTTCACTTGCCTTTTTGACTAAAATTGCCCTTTTAATATTTTACACATTGCTAAATCATTTATAATTTTTTTAAGAAGGATTCTACCAACTTGCAATGTAAAGACACATTTTTGTCACTAAGATTCAGTCGATCTTTATCTAAGATTTTACTCCAAGTTCAATTTTATTACAGCAGTAAATTTTGAGCTCCTAGAGTGTTAAAACAGTGTCTCATATCTCTGTATTCCTGGTGCCTAACAAATAATTGATACCTAATAAATATTTATTTAAAATAGGAAAGTATTTTGCTTATTGTATATATAAATTATATTGGTAATTATTTACAAATTATATATGTATATTCATATATATATGAATAAAATTTGGGACAGTAATCTAATCTAAGTTCTTTGCACATATGCCAAGCCTGACCAGACAGGCAAAACCTCACTTAACCCAATCTTTTCTAAAGGCATGATGCTCTATCCTATACTCAAAGACTGCTGAAGACAACTTCACAACCTTCTTTAATAGCTCATTTTAATGCTAATAATTGCTGAATCAGAAGGCTGTTTGCTTCCTCCTCTCTAACCAAAATTACCTATAGTATAAGTATATATTTTTTTCTTTTCTTCCCTTGCCTTCCCTTTTCTTTCTTTTCTTTTTTCTTTTTCTTTTTTTTTTTTTTTTTTTGTTCTTGGTGAAAATAAACCAGTAGGCTTCTGGATATAAGCTTGCCAGGTCCTCTCTGAGCTTCTCATTCTCACAAATGAGGTAAGATCATTCACTTATTTTCCATATGAAGTTCTAGGGGTAGTCTTTGGTTCTAAATACACTTTTTTCTTTCCTCTATTTTTATTCCATCTGATTCTAGAATATGTGTGCTCTAGAAATTCAGAATATGGCTCATGTTATGCATTCAAGTCATAAATTTCTAAACTTAACAAATAACATTACAAAACAGAATATGATATGATTTACAAGTTATATAAATAAACTTTTCTTAGAGTCAGCCATTTAAAGTGGTATATATATGTATGTCATTTGAAAGAAGGGCCATGGGAAGGCTGGATATAGAATAAAACTTAGCTGGTAACTGATCACTCAGAATCCTGCCTCACTGGGAAGCATCCCTTACTCTGAAAAATCTACCAGGTTGTAACCGAACTCTTTAGAAATCTAGAAAGTTAAACATTTATGAAAGTTAAATTCACCAAAGATTGAAATACAGAAACCAGAGTAACAAAGGAATCATTTTTAGTGAGAAACATCATCACCAGTCAGGGAGCTTTTGCAGTCTGGCTGGCCAATATTCTGCTCAGGCCAGACACATGGGTGTGCCAGGGAGCAGCTAGGCAACTAGAATCAGCCTAGGGATCTCTCTGCCAGCCAACTCAAGATACCACGTTTCCAAGGCACTGCTCCACAAAAGCACCAATATATGCTTTCTGTAACTATTAAGAACATAGGCTTCAGTGTCTAACAGAGCTGGGTGAAAATCTTAGAGTCACCATCTTAATATCTATGTGAAATTAACAAATCATTTATCTTTCATGAGCACATTTCTTCACTTGAAAAACTGCATGTCATAAAGTTGTGTGAAAAGTGTACATAAGGTACTTGGCTACATGTCTGGCATATAATATGGGTTTAATAAAGGTTTCAGTTTCTTAGGGTGATGCTATGCACCTTCATTTTATCCATTATATGGGTTGATTTAAAATTTATCTCTCTGAGGACAATCTTGTTTTTCTTCTTTTTGTCTTTAATCATTCAATTAATCACTCATTCATACATTCATTTATTCAACAACTGTTTATTTTGTGCTAGGCACTGTTCTATGTACTAGCGATGCTGCTTGCAAACAGAATTAGAGTCCTTACCATTATGGGACTTACATTCTACTGGTAAAAGACAGTAAGCACATAACAAACATATAGTATGTCATATATACATTTAGTGTAATGGTTTATTTTTCCCATAACTTATTTAATCAATGATATTTTGCCTTGTATATTTCTCTGATAGGAGCTCTCATTTTATTTTTTTAGTCATTGACTTGCTTTAATGTGATATTTTTATATTTCAATGATTTGAATTTAAATTTGGAGTTGATATAAGAATGACAGAAAGAAAGCAGACCTTTGCTCTCCCGTGAAGACAGAAAAATCAGAAATAGGAAATCATAGTAAGCAACTACCAGACATTGATTAATTCTCAATCTTGAAAGGTCAAATATGTTACCTAGTGCTGACTCTGAGGTGAAGTTTAGTCATACTAATAGGTAAATGACTTATGAGAACATAAATTGCTATTCCTCTTCAAAATTTTTGCACTTGATAATTGAAATGTTGCACTTAGGAACATTGGGACTGACTGCATTTATGTGTTAGAAAAGCGGATACTGGAACCTTCTAGAAGTATCTAGATTACACCCTACAGGCAGTTATTTACTTCCATGTGCTTCTGAAAATGGAACTTAGAATACTTTTAGAGTCCTAGAGGTGAGAATATTTTCTCTCTACTGGCCCCAGAATTTCTTACCATCACTCCTCCTACTCCAATGTTCACTTCTATGGCTGTCTTTGCATTGGGGCTATCATAATGAATTGGAACAGTGTTTAAAGGAGAAAAAAATGGGAGAAGATGACCAATTGAAGGGAAGTTTTAAGGACTCTCTTTGTTCTTCAACTTTGGCAGCTGTTGAAAGATAGGGCCCCAGAAGACAGGAGACCATATAAACGCAAATTTTGAAAAACTATTGCAATATCCTATTCCTTTTCTGAAACCAAAAAATGATGATTAGCATATGTTTGTACATTCATTTATTCATTTCCTACCAAACTTTATGAAGTGACATTTTTTAGAATATAGTCTTCAAAGAGCTTACAATTTAGTTAAATGAATCTAATAGATCTGTGGTTTTCTTTTTCCTTCTTCTGAGACACATGATTTCTGTATCTCACAATACATTCCACACATTATGTTTGCATGTGTGTATTAGTTCGTTCTCATAATGCTATAAAGAAATACCCGACACTGGGTAATTTATATAGGAAAGAGGCTTAGTTGACTCACAGTTTCACATGGCTAAAGAGGCCTTGGGAAACTTACAAATCATGGCGGAAGGCAAAGGGGAAGCAGGCACCTTTTTCACAAGGCAGCAGGAAAGAGAAGAGCAAAGGAGGAACTTTCAAATACTTATAAAACCATCATATCTTGTGAGAACTCACTCATTATCACTGAGAATAGCAAGGGGAACCATCCCCATGATCCAATCAGCTCCCTCTCTCAATACATGGGGATTACAATTCAAGATGAGATTTGGTTGGGGGACACAGAGCCAAACCATATGAATGTGCTACAAACTCTTGTTGAGTACCTGGGGTTATTCACTAGATAGCACACACTGGCTGTAACCATCACTTTCTCTTCCATGCAAGAAGGTATATCAAATGCAACAGAGTGAGAAAGACTATAGGAATTCACCATATTCACTATAGGAATAACATTGAATCTAGTCTAAAATCAAAATTAGGATTTGAATCCACATCCAGTGGATGCCAGGTGGTGCTAGCAGATGTCATGCTCTATGTGTTAATCCGTAACATTGAAGAGTTTACACATAGTAGCAGTATTGTCAGTCTCATGTAGATTAAAAAAAAACAACAACAACAACTGATGTTCACAGAGATCAAATGACATGCCTAAGGTCACACTACTAGGAAATATCTTTTCAAAAATTTAATCTTTCTTTGTCTGACTCCGAAGTGCTTTTCTCACCATATGACACCATTTCATCATAGCATCTCTGAATCAAAATCCATCTTAATCAGAGCCAGGAAAAACAATATGACTCCAATTAACCAGAGTGCACAGAGATTGAGGAGTTCTGGCTAATGTTTTGGTTAACTAAGATGCAACTCTTGTCTGAATTCATCCAAAAGCTTTCTAACAGTTATCAGTTCACTTTCAACCCAAGCAAGCACAGTATAATGTAATCTTGCCTTGATGATTCAGGATCTTACGTGCCTCCGAGCCATCATTATGAACAGTTGTTGCTACTGAGAAATTTTGAAGTGAATGCAGAAGATACAGGCAATTGGGCTGAATGCCTGGGGAGTTCGGGATTACTAGGAGGACAAATTCAATTATACTGTAATCATCTAACTTTTCTGTAGTCAGAATGGAAAAAGGCCCCCAAATTGAGACTAATCAAATGTTTCAGTTGAGCTGTGTTCTAATCAATCAAGTTTACTTCAATTTGTGTAACTAGCTGACAAACTTCATTAAAAGTGACTTTTTTTCCTTTTGCCACTTGGCAAATAACAAAAAAAAAAAAAAAAAAAAAATGAAGCTTTCCCTGATTCCTGTGTACAGTTGTGTTACCCCATCATCAGGGAGAGAAATGAGCTGTATAATTACTGTTTGAGACATGAATCATCCTTGCTCGGAGGGTCCAGACCTGTTTGACTCTATAAAAGGAGCTCAAGGTCGAAGTGCAAACATGCACTGTCTGTCATCCCCCAGGTTGATATAATTACCAAGCTACTGTGAGGGGATGAAGGTGCTCCCTGCATCTGGCCTTGCTGTCCTCCTCATCATGGCTTTGAAGTTTTCCACTGCAGCCCCCTCCCTAGTTGCAGCATCCCCCAGGATCTGGAGGAACAACTACCGCCTCGCACAGGTTTGTGAATTTTTGCACAATTCCTTCTTGCTCCTCTGCCCTAGAAAACCTAAAAGGGCATAGTGAGAAAATAAGAAAAAAGTTCAATTGTTCTTTTAAAATCATTTTATGTAAGTCCATTGAAGTCTGATCGATGTTATCTTCTGTCCGTCTAGATTGATATCTGGTGCATATTAGGTGTATCATGTTACATGACTGAATAAATACATGAATATATATCTACCTAGCTATTTTGCTTCATAAAGAATTCCAGGTGGCTTGTGAAACCATACAATATAAAAGGAAGAAACAAGTACTTCCCAGGAATGATGTAGGGGGAAAAATTGAAGCAGAAAAATAAAAACCGAGATATAATCTGCATGCTAGAGGCAGGTTGTGAATTTAGAGCTAAGCTTTAGCAGTCACAACAAAGAGATGTCCTGTGTGTACATTTTTTTAGTGGCTCTTATATTCAAGGTAACCCTGATCAAAATTTAAAGTGGAGTAAGTTCTTCCTGGGTGCCAACCCACTTCTCATTTGAGGTCCTTCTCTCCCTAAAGCATATTTCTCAACTAAGTAAAAGTTTATGTACACAGTACATAACTAAGTTTAAGTAGTAAGTACAAAGTTCATGTACTTAAACTTTGTGTATTTTCCTCTTTGAAGATCTGTCGCATGTGTCTGCTGGAAAGGGTCTGATAGAAACCATTCATATTAGAATTTTTGCAAAGACTACTTAACTCAAAATGATTCAATATATATATGCTTCCAAGCATTTTTTTGTTTTTAAAAGAAGGATGGCATCCTTAACCTAAAGAAATGGATATCTAAGGATGGGATTTCCAACATTAGTGAAAGATATGTAGAGGAAATGTTTTTGCACGCAGGCCTCTCTTTGAAGAGTCTGCCAAAATTACAGCACATCTGTGATCCCCAGCTCTGCCTCAAGGCTGCTTTCCTGCCTGCCAGGCTGCACCTGTGTACTGCTTGGCTGTCTGCATCATACAGCTGATTTGCACCCATGTGCAATGTCATGTTGCTACCAATTGTTTCTGCCACTCATCCTTATAAACTGGTCAGTTCCCCTGCCATTCCAGTCATTAAACACTTAAATAACACCCTGAAGATGAACAGTACAGCTGATGCCCGCACAGGCATGTTGAATTGGACTTCCTCTGGACTTCCTTTGACTTTAGCCCACTTTTAGGTGAACTAAATACAAAATAACTCAGGATACTGGGATCTTTATTCAATTGTATTTTGTCCTTGCCACCTAGCTTTAGGTCCCTTCATCCCAGATGTAATTTTCCCTACCCTGCCTTATGGAACTTTGATTCTAAAACTAAAGAGGTTTTGTGACCTCCAGAAGGAGAGCCATACTGAGGCCAGAATGGATCTGAGGTAGTAGGAGACCCTTCTTCTATCCATGGTTCACGGAAACTACAGGTGGCCCTGCCCCTTAGTTTACAGATTGTCTATGATTGCTTCTGTACCACAATGCAGAGTATAGTCTAAAAGCCAAGAATATTAATTATTGGTCCTTTGCAGAAAAGATTAGCCACCCTTGATCAGTCTATGAGGGAATAGGGCTAGACCAGCCAGGGACCAGTTTCATGGAAGACAGTTTTTCATGGACATGGGAAGATGGGGGCTGAAGGGTGATAGCTTTGGGATGAAACTGTTCCACCTCAGATCAACCATAAGATTCTCAAAAGGACTGTGCAACCTAGATCCCTCACATGCACAGTTCACAATAGGGTTCCTGCACCTATGAGAATCTAATGCCTCTGCTGATCTGACAAGAGGCCCAGCTCAATTGGTAATGCTGGCCCACCACTCACCTCCTGCTATGAGGCTGGGTTACTAACAGGCCACAGACTGGGTCCTGGGTGCAGTCCAGGAGCTGGGGACCCCTGGGATAGGCACTCTTGGGTGAAGCCATTCTTGCTGTTCTAGCTGGTCAGGAGTCATCTAGGCATGTTTAGAAATAATGACATGGCCTGGGAATGTTGAGGACCTTTAGTGATTCCTTACTTCTTCCTCTCCAAAATAAATCAGCCCTTCTCTGTCTCCCTTATGACATACTCTCAGAAAGATCTTAGACCAAGGAGCAGGGAAATGTGTCCACATCTCCTCACCTGGCACACAGCACCTTCTGCCTACAATGGTCCAGATCCTCAGCTCTGGGCAGGGACACTCGTCACTCCTTAGAAGTCTGGAATCATCTGGACAACCTCTAATGGGGATCACAATGACAAGAAAGAATTATTTAATAACACCCCACCTTATAATTTATAGAAAGGTTGTATAACAACCTCATAAAATCACAAACAAAGCAGTAAAATAGGCAGCGGAAGTTCATGTATTGAATGCTTACAGCATGGCATGTGCTGCAGAAACATGAGGGAGTCAAACAAATCAAGCCCCTGTTCTCATGGTGCTTCCATGAAGATGAGGGAGCTGGTGGGAAGGTGCTGGGAGAAGATAAACAAGTCAACCAATGAGCGCATACCATTATTTGAGAAAGTGATCAGTGAGACTGGAAAGAAGTTAATCAGGATGACAGAGAGTTACTGACTGGGGCAGTGGTCCAGGGAGGGTGTATTTTTAATGGAGTAGTCCAGGAAGGCTGCTCAGAGGAAGTAACCTTTGAGATGAACCTGAGCTGCATGAAAGAGCCAGCCATGTGAAGACCTGGAGTTGGGGCAGTTCAGGCAGAGGAAACAGCAGCTGCTTGGAATGCAATCATCAGGCCCATGTGACTAGAGCTGAGAGGACAGGGAAGAGGGGTCCAGAGGAGTCCCAAGGACAGGTGAGGCCAGCGGGTCTTCTGGGGCCTGGTGGCCTGGGTCACGCTCAGCAGAGAGAGTTCTTAGAGATCCTCTCTACTTGCTAAGTGAACTGTTAGATCACTAGCTAAGAAAGAACAAATGGCTCCTGGAAAAACCAGAGAGTCCATGTTTACAAACACCATACACCTCTCCCTACCCCCAAAAAATCTACACTTGAAAAGATAAACAGCTTCTTGATTTATTTAATGTCCACTTGCATCCTTTAAATTCTGATTTGTCCATTTGCATAAAGGCTTTGAAAATGATGAGATAACAAAATGCTTACCTAATCTCATAACCCAGGATTTTATTCTGGGTTTGTTTGTTTGTTTGTTTGTTTAAAAAAATTAGTATCAATAAGACATTTAAAATATTTTTTTTTAATTATCTTTAAAAATAACAAAAAATTTAATTATCACATTATTGTGAACTCTAAAGAAAATAAAAATAAAACCTTTCAATACAAACTATTAATTCAGGTGTTTTTACTATCATTTTATTTTCTATGATAAAGACTTTTAAACATTGTCATTGTCTTCAAAATGTGGTTTTTACTTTTCTGACTATTATGTCATAAGACAATTTTGATATTATACTATTTTCATAACATCATTTTAAACAGCCAGAAATATTCCAGAATATGAGTTATAATTTATTTGACCATTTCCTTTATTTGACAAATAGATTACTTCCATATGAATAAGGCTTCTATAAGCATCTTTGTACATCAACCTAATTTAAACAATTATTTTTTCAGGATGGGTTTCCAGACACGGATTTAATGAGTGAAAGGGATCTTTAAAGTATTCTGACACATTTAAAAGCATTCACATTGAGGACCTCATTGGATCCGCACACTGGTGTAGCCAGTAGGGCAGAAACCATCCACTCTATAGATGAGAAAGCTGAAACCACAAGAAATTAAAAGACTTGTCCAAGCACATTAGTGACCCAGCCTGGACTAGAACCTAAGATTTTTCAGACAGATTTAAAAGTTCTCACGAATCTATTTGTGTGACTGTAAGGAACACGGCTGTGCTGCAGACAAGCAGGCATAGGCTGAGGTAAACATCCTGCATGACTCAGCAAGTTTAGAGTGCAGTTATGCATGTAACTCCACTTGTTACCACAGCCATGTAGCCACCACATGCGAAGGCCATCATTTGGCTCTAAGTCACTATTGTCTGTAAAAGGTATAAATGCCCTGCTGACACTGTACAGGAGTGCTCTCACCCAGAGAAAGAGAGAACCAAAGTCGTCTGTCTTGCAGGTGGGCAGGGAGGAGCCAGGAACTGGCTTGTGCCCAGAGAGAGAAAGAGTTAAGCTGCTGACCCTGAAGGGAGAGCCGGCCATGCAGCTGTGTGTGGGAGCAGCTGGCCCAAGCTGCTGAAACAAGGCAGACAGTGTGAGAAAGTAACTGATGAGAGAACAATGTGAGAAAGCTGCTGATGAGAGAGCTGCAGAATAAAATCATATTCACCTGCCTATGTCCCCCCCAATTCCCCTTCCCTGAGGGTTCTTTCAGCTACCTGCCACCACCCACTCCCCTCCAACCTCAGCATGTCTGGAACCTGACACTGCACATGACATTTGGCGTAGTTGTGTCCCCAAACCTGACCCTGGAACCTGACAGCAACTTAGCTAAAAAAGAAAAATGTTGAAGAAATGTACCTTAAGTTTCACACTGTCTTGGAGTGTACTTAAACTGAATTTTAAACTCTTAAGTCTCAGGAAGGACACTAGGAAAATGCACTGAATGAGGCCTTCGGAGGGAGACCTAAGCTGCTAGCCTGCAGGAATGGACCCTCTGGCATCCACTACTTTTATCTGCCAAATACCAGAAGAGAAGTGGAGAGGGGACCACCTGATAATTGACCCTAAAATTCTATAATTTTAACAATGAGGAAGCGGGGAAGATTGGGGGGAAATGGAAAAACTCTGGTGAATCCTGAATTCTTTGTCCCAGTGCCAACAATAAGTGCTAAGCCAACAGTATGCAAGTATTAGAGTATCACATGAAAGCAATTATAAGGACACACCTCAGTGCTTGATAGATACCATGACCGTGAACAGTATGCCAAAACCTTGTCAGTAACTTTAGCAAGAAAGTGCTCAGAGTTTCGAGCTCTCAGTACTTCAGGGTATCTGACAGTTCTTCAAGGAAACATACTTTTATATTTTGCCTAAAGAAAAAGATCTCAAACATTAACTGAGCATCTACTCTGAGCCTAGAACTGAGTCAAATACAGGGCTTGTATCTGTGAAGGCAAAACTGTGCCTGATTGGAAGGAGGTTGCAAACAAGCAGGTGAGAGGGATAAGAAATTGGTAGGAAGTGATGGTTTATAGCGCAATGAGATAGGTGTTTTACTAGTGCAAGAATCACGTCTTATGGAAGCATCAACTACGGAGAGATTTTGTATCACTGCAGAGATGAATTTTTGTTTTTAAGAAGGAATAGTTTCTAATTTTATTTTTACTTAATTAAAAGGTACTGTTTCAATCCTGCCTATTTAAGATTTAAGGTTTAAGATGAGCCATAAACCTTCTGTGCTCTAAGACTAACATTCTGTGCATATTTTAAAGGAACAAATGGTTGGTTATAAAAATTATGCAGGTTCATAGTAAAAAAAAATGTAAAAACCCTATCTTTAAAAATATATCATCTTAACTCCATCATTAAGGTTTAACCACTATTAGTCCCTTAGACTGTATCTTTCATAACACTTTTTTAGGATTCAGGGCCAGGATTAGTGTGAGACAGCCAAGGCAAAAATGCATCCTGTATTTAAAATTCTGAAATTTTATCATGGATTTTTTGCATTGATTTTGTTTTTTTCAATTCTGCATTAAATTATGATTTATCTTGATTACAAAGTTTATGGTAAACCACCCCGCCACTGGCCTCATCTCAGCCCTGGTGATATGACTGGGATGTATGACTAGATATCACTTGTTTATAAACATAGCTTTTATTGTAATAGCAGTGGTAAACATGGCAAACACATTTTTCACTTAATTTATCATGCACATCTTCCCTCATACGGCCTATTTTGTGAAACAAAAATTAGAATATAGAGTGTAACACATAACCTAACAGAGGGACAAAATATTTGAAATCAACGATCCCAGAGACACAGAGCACCTGGTCTTATACATAGAGCTTAACCCTAAGGAACATAATTGAGACATTACTATAAGCATCGCATTATCATAGCATAAACTTCACAGACAGGAACAACTCATCCAATCAACCTCATCTTGCAAAAAAGAGCAGAAACATAAATACATACTTAAGGTGGTCTAACTTGAGATAGAATGAAACCAAATAGTTGCAGCTTTGTTTCAGAACACCTAGTCTAGGTTTCAGGGCCTGGGCACCCCATGTTTCCTCTCCCTTTTCCTCCTTTTGGCTTCTCATCTCACCTAAGGTTTTTACAAGGGACAAAACCAGCAAAGTGATCACAAGCAATGACAGCAGGACAGGGAGTGAGGGATCTCCTGATCCTGCAGTGAAAAAATAGAGCACCTTCTCCAAACATATAAGTAAGACTTACTCCTTTTTATTTTTTCCCCAACAGTAACAGTTCATGCTCATTGTAAAAAATTTTGGAATATAGGAGAAAATAAAGAATAAATTAAATCATCCATAATTTCATTACCCAGATATAATCAACATTAATATTCAGACAGACTTTTTTATTATTGTGTGTGCATGTGCGTGCATATGCATGGTTTATTCCAAAAATTTTTATTAAAACCATATAAAGATTTTTCCTCTTCTTTTCTCAGTATATTTCCATTATATAAAGAGCATTCTTTCATACCATTAAGTATTTATTTTTCAAAACTGATTGCCTCACATGAATATGTAATAATATATAAAACAAATCCCCTGTCATAAGACATTAAGATTACTTCCAATTATATATTATTTTTATATGTATGTTAAAAATATATGTGCATAATATGTAAGTAAATACATTGCATAGTTTATATGTGATAAATATATGGTTAATACATAGATGAATATGTAATTTATATCTAATAAACATCTCTATACAACATAAATATAAAATTATATATAATTAAATACAGTAAGTGCTCTGTATCCATAGGATCTGTATACATGGAATCAACCAACTGTAGGTTGAAAATATTCGGGGAAAAAAATTGATGGTTGCATCTGTTTTAGGGCAGACATGTTCAAAACAGACTTTTTTTTTTTGTAGCTTTTCCCTAGACAATACACTGCAACAATGATTTACACAGCATTTATATTATAGTAGGTATTCTAAGTAATTTAGAAATGATTTAAAGCATATAGGAGGCTGTACTTAGGTTGTATGCAAATATTATGCCATTTTATATCATGGACTTGAGCACCTGTGGATTTGGTATCTGAGAGAGGTCCTGGGACCAATCTCCCATGGATATGAGAAGATGACTGAACCCTTAGCTGCTCTTTGGTTATTTTCCTGAAATCAGCTGAGTAGGTAAAATTCCTCGGCTAAAGGCAGGCTTCAACCCTGTATTTGCATGCTCCTGCATCTCTCATTTTACCCTAATCCCAGCCCTGAGTCATAGAAAAGTGTTTTGAATAATATATACTGAAGGGCTGTATGTCCTTTTGTGCAAATGAAAGATTTATAATTTATGGCTTATTTTATTTGCTTCAAGGGACAAAGAGCCTTGCCTAGGAAACTTGTCTCATAGAAACAAACTCCAGCCCACATACTACATACATCTGAACTCATTAAAATCCTCAGCTGAAAAACAGGTGGACCCTCTGCCTTTGTAAAGTATGACAGGCTGGAATACAATGCCTTCAGGAGTTAAAAGCATACTGATCCTGCATTATGTGCAATGGGAAGATGATACCAATAACTGTTTACCAAAGAAACAACAGCCTTTGTTTTGCAAATTGGGTAAAGAACTTCAGTGACAAATAAGTGATCCATGGAAATAATGTTCACATCAGTTTCCTTCTATTTTTTAAAATTATTTTCCTTCCTTCTTTTTTTTAAATTAAAGCAAAAATTCATGTTTGTTATATTCATTGTAGAAAAACTATAAAATGCAGGTGGACAAACGGTAATAATTAAACAATCTATAATCCCCACTACCCAAAACCAATCATGATTAATAATTTGGAGTGCAGCTAAGCTTTAGTATACAAATATCTCTACTTTTTTCATAAATGGGAATATACTCGACATTGTTTTTAATACATCAGGAATGCTGTCCCCTGCCCTACCTGAGCATGAGTATTTCCCAGACTACACTGTAGACATGTCAGCCTGCCTCTCCATTTCAGGCATATGTTGACAAATATTACACAAATAAAGAAGGACACCAGATTGGTGAGATGGTTTCAAGAGGAGGCAATTCCATGGTAAGGAAGATTAAGGAGCTACAAGCGTTCTTTGGCCTCCAAGTCACCGGGAAGTTAGACAAGACCACAATGGATGTGATCAAGAAGCCTCGCTGTGGAGTTCCTGATGTGGCCAATTATCGCCTCTTTCCAGGTGAACCCAAATGGAAAAAAACTACTTTGACATACAGGTAATGAGATTTCTAAATCCAGAGAGAAGCACCCCCTCTCTCTTTTTCTCTTTTCTTTGAAAAATATCTTCCTTCTCATCTGTATAAAAATCCTGACTCCTCACAACCATAAGAAAGATTAAGAACTTTATACATCCATCTGTTAGGCAATGACAATGGGCAATTCCCCAGAAAACATAATCTTAAGATTAGCATAATGACTGGCTATTTTAGGCACTCCAAACAATTTTACCAGTCAGAAACAACACAATTATCTTTAAACTAGTCTAGGATTAACGACCTGGCAGTATAAACCAGTTTTCTTAAAACATCCTGCTTCATAAGAAAGACAAAAATCACCTACTAATAAAGTAATTTACTTCGATAATCCCAAAATCTTTTATTGATGATTCAAGAAATGCATTCCATTTGAGGGATATAAAGGTGAACAGGTCAACTTTCTTGACCTTAGGGAACTCACAGTTCTTTAAGGAGAGACAGACACACAAACAGACAGCTGTAGCTCCATGTGAAAAGTACAAAATCATAGGTCTAAGCAGTGAATTGTGGAACCACAGTTCACATGGAGAGAGCTACCAGGTGGCCCAGGGACCAAGCAGGGACATCTGAGCCGGATTCAAAGGCAAAGTAGAATAAGTTCCACTCTTAGCCCCACGCTCCCCTCCCTCCCTGCACTCTTTCTTCCTTCCCCTAATCCTCTGGTCTCATCCCGTGTAAACCAAGGGGAAACACCAACCAGAACCTCTGTTCCTCCCTGCTGTACTCCGGCTAAAGAGGCTGGAATTCCCTAATCCAGAGCCAGAGGGGCCAGTACAGACTTCCTCCCCAGGTTGGTCCAACCAAGGGCAAACTATGTATGGTACCTGCCCCTCTTTAGAGGTAGATGGTGCCTGCCTGCATGGACCTCATGCATGCCATATGGGTGCAGTTTGGAAAAGAAGAGTGTCTTCCACTCTTCGCGGTCTTGTCCCAGGCCTTGCACATTAAGGAGCTGCTAAGAAGAAAGGCAAGCCAAGCAAATAGCAGCAGAGAGTGGACAGCCTGGGATGTTGTTGGGCAGCATTCCCACCATCAGTGCCTACTGCATTCCACTAGAGGAGAGGGTGCAGGAAAGGCAATGGCAGGAAATGAGCTGGATGGGGTAGCCTGAAGGGCAGCTAGAGCATGATGTTAAGGAGTTTGGACTTTATCCCCAGGGCAGTAGAGAGCCAGGCCAGGACTAGGATTGGATTGCACTTTAGGATGAGCACATCTAGATGATAACTGGAGATGGGGAAAGGCTGGACTTGTGCAATGGTCCAAGCAGTTGTGTGTTAGAGCTGCCTCCTAATAGCTCTCAGAAGCCAGTCTTTAAAATGTCAGGAATTTCGAAGCTAGTTTTTAGGTTTCCAAGAATTTTGTGAACTGGTTGCCAAGACAGCCATTGTTAAATCATGTAAATTTACAATTAAATAAATTATATTATAAACAAAGATAATAAAAACATATTACCTTCTATTTCACTTCATTTTATTATTATCTCTGTTCATGAGGCTATCTACATCTGAATAATCTGGGTGGTAGAAACACTATACAATAGTTCATTCACGCTCATCTCTTCCCAACCCAGTGTTCAGTGATGGTAAATTGACAGCTTGAATTAGCCATAGTGAGAATATTTGCAACACAGAAATCAGCAAGTCATACAAATCAAGTGAATTTTTTTTTCTCCTTGTAGAGCCACTTAAACTGTTGCAGCACACCAGTAAGTCTGTTTGATCAAATGAGTGTCCAGAACCCAGGGAACAGTCATGAATCCCCTAGGCCACTTGTAACCTGCTATCAGCCAATAAATCCATAAGGGGGCAGGCTTAACAAAAAAATCAAAGCAATTTGAGAAGAAAAACCCCATAGGGAGTTGAACACATTATTGATTCTGACACAGTAAAAATAAGACAAGAAAAATGTGTACACATCAAGAGTCTTTTCATAGTTTTCTTAAAGTAAACTGTAAGTATAATATCCTTGAGATAAGGTGGGCAGCCCTAAATCCCGCTCAACACACACATTAACCATTCTCTTGCTCCTCAACAATTCCACTGTCCCTTCCCCATGAAAAAAGACACTAGAGGCTATCACAGTACTCTGCCTGTGTAACTACTGACTTTCAGAATAAATTCTTAAAATGTAACCCAGAGGATTACAAAAGGAAAAAAAAGATACAACATAGTGCTTATATGCATAAGCTTTGGAGTCAGACAGAACTGGGCTCAAACCTGACTAATCATAACATGTAGAATCATGATGATGATGATCTTCATCTTAGGGCTCGTAGTGAGGATTAGATAAACGGCACATTAAAAAGTGCATGCAGCAACAGCATAAGTATGACTTCAAAGAATATTACCTAGCATTACTATTGCTTTATCAAGCTCCATACCCTGAATCAGGGATTTTTCCACGTTCTCCTCTTCTCTGGTGCTATCCCTCTCTCCGTCCCGTCTTCTCCAGGCCAACACTCACAGTCAGCTCAAAGATATGGCTGACTATCAATAATGTGAGGGCGTGTCAAAGTACTAAGTCTACCTAGTTGTGGTAAATTGCAGTCTCATATTATGCAGTGGGCTTGGCATACTTTGAAAGCATTAAACAGCCCTATTAAGGGTCTTTCTGGTTTCACCTTTCAATTCTACAGCTCCCTTCTTTTGGCCCCAACTCTTGGGATTAAAGAGCCCCTGTTTCCTTCCCTCTCAAGTTCTGAATTGAGCTACTTGCTATCCTTTCTGTCCTTCCATTTGGGACTCCAGGATTACTGCTGTTTGTTTCTCATTGAAACTGCACCATCTGCATCATAATAACCTAGGATACCTTTCAAAATGCAGAGTTTGGACCATACCTGTATCTTTAACAAGCTTCCCAGGTAATTATCACAGTTCCTAAACTTTGAGCACCTCTGAGTGGGCCGTAAAACAGCTAGCTTTTATCCTTTAATTCTTTCATTTATTTATCAAGCAATTGCTGGGCATCTGCTCTGCAAGGCACTAGAATGAAAGCTATAGAGAGAGAGAAAAAGGAGGCCAGTCCCTGCTCCAAGGGTTGGCTCACACAGACACAGCTTCCCACTTTGCATCATATTCCAGCCCAGTCCAAGGTCTCAGGTAGAAGTTGCCCTCCCCGCCTTTTCTTTGTGCACTGCCAGAAATCTCCAGACCCTGGGCTTCAGAGCAGAAAGTTTTAACAATCAGCAACTCTGACTCCACCCACAACCCAAAAAGCACTACATTTTTCTGCCTTCAGATGTCATTGTCACACCAGTAATTGCTGGGGGCAGTGGCTCACCCCTGTAATCCCAGCGCTTTGGGAGGCCGAGGAGGATGGATCGCCTGAGGTCAGGAGTTCAAGACCAATCCGGCCAACATGGTGAAACCCCATCTCTACCAAAAATACAAAAATTAACTGGGCATGGTGGTGGGTACCTATAATCCCAGCTACTCAGGAGGCTGAAGCAGGGGAATCGGCTCAACCTGGGAGGCAGAGGCTGCAGTGAGATGAGATCCTGCCATTGCATTTCAGCCTGGGCAACAAGAGCAAAACTCCATCTCAAAAAAGAAAAAGAAAAAAAATTTGTTATTCTGAGGAAATAAAAACCCTCCCCGACAGCCCTGGGGAAATCCTGATGAGCTTTGAATAAGAATGAGCAAAACTTCAAAACTCCACATTTCTATTTTTTTCTTGTTTTTTTCAAATTATACTTTAAGTTCTGGGGTACCTGTGCAAATGTGCAGGTTTGTTACATAGGTATACACATGCCATGGTGGTTTGCTCCACCCATCAACCCATCATCTACATTAGGTATTTCTCCTAAGGCATTTCTATTTTTTATAATTGAAAACCTTCAGTCCCTTTGGGGGAAAAGGGGTTCTGTCTCAGTGAAAACGACTTTAAGAAAAATGGACTACTTACTACCTGTAATATTACACAAGTTTTATTGATTGATTAATTGATTTTTGGGCAGTCTCACTCTGTCACCCAGGCTGGAGTTCAGTGGCCCAATCTTGGTTCACTGCAATCTCCACTTCCCAGGTTCAAATGATTCTCCTGCCTCAGCCTCCTAAGTAGCTGGGACTACAGGCGAGCACCACCACGCCCAGTCACGTCCAGCCAATTTTTGTATTTTTAGCAACAAGGTTTCACCATGTTGGCCACGTTGGTCTCCAGCTCTTGACCTCAAGTGATCCTCCTGCCGTGGCCTCCCAAAGTGCTGAAATTACCGGTATGAGCCATCACACCGGCCAAAGTTTTGTTCTTTTAAGTTAGTGGTAGTATAATAACCATGAAACTCAACTGGGTTTCAGTACTGGATTATCCCAACTGTCTCTCATCTCTCCCTTTCATTTGTCTTGTTGTTTAATATGCAGCAATTTAACATATAATAAAGCAAAATAAGAATGATAACTTCAGAGAAAAAAATCTAAGTTACAGATTTATGTTTAACATGTTTTGAACACAACATATAATTCTTGCCTTCTTCAGAGCAGTTACTGAAAAGAAAACATATTCCTTCTATTTTCACAGAATATCTAAATACACACCATCTATGAGTCCTGCTGAGGTGGACAAAGCAATGGGGATGGCCTTGCAGGCCTGGAGTAGTGCCGTTCCTCTGAACTTTGTTAGAATAAACTCAGGAGAAGCGGATATTATGATATCTTTTGAAACTGGAGGTACTGTGGTACTTGGATTCCATCTACTAATTCCAGGGAGAGTTATCCCAGTACTCTTCCTTCTATATCTTTAATTTGAGTGATCACACTCCTTCTTCACACAGCGCTGTGACAGGTAGAGGCCAAGACCATGGCAGTCATGATCTTCACCCAGCCAGAAAATAGAACTAAAGGAGTTCTTAGCATGTCTTGTCATCATCAGACTCAGCTGTAGAGCAGATTCACTGTAACAAACTTTCATTATGACTTTATCCCACTAGGGGACAAATTCTTGTAGATTTTGCTTTCCCATTGGCCACCTGACCTCATCCATTCCCGTGATGGTGTTCATCACTATATACTCCCTTCCGTATCAGCCAAGAATACCCCACCGTGAATCCTCACTGAAGAAAATACATTCCACAGTGACCTCAATGCAGCTTTCCCCATGCAGCAATGGTTAGGAAACTGTCGTTCCTGTCTTGCCCACATTTGCAGACCACCTTTTGGGAGATATGTGAGAGGCCTGCCTCCAACTTGCCCACCTCTTCTCTATTCCATTGCTCACACTGGTAAAGAGTAGAGGCATAAGTTTGCACAGAGATTGGTGAGAGCTCTGAGCCCTTTTCAGAGAAGCAAGTCTAGGAAATAGATAAAGGGAGGCCCAAATGGCTCATGAAATTTCTTTCCCTTCTCAGCTTCCTAATAGGGTAAATGAGAGCTACTATCTATTCTTCCCCTCCACAGATAACATTTCTAAGTGTCCTTTTCATTTCAAGTCCAGATCTTAATTTTAATCTGATATCACTGGGGGGAAAACACGCTTAGGAGTTAGGAGAGGGACAATCAAGCAAGTCCTGAGAATAGAACCTTTAGAAATGGCTCTGGGTGTGACCTGGCCCAGGGCAGGTCCTGTTCCTTCCAGAGGACAAAGACCACCCCTGGTGAAGTGGCAGGGAGGGCAGTGTGATTCGGGGAACCTTTGAAGGCCAAGGAGTGAATGTCTGGCTCCCTCTTGATCTTTCAAGCTTGCAGTCTGTCCCCTAATACACAAGCCAACTAGGGACCATGCTGCCATTGCATTAAGTCCTCTGTGCATGCAACCTAAATATACTGCATTTCACTGAAACCTGAGAAATGGCATACCAGAATTTTGTTGTTTTTTTTTTTTTACAAAAAAACTAAAACTGGGTATCCTTACTAAGATTTTTTAAAGTTGTAAACGATAGCCCTCATATTGTTCTTCCTCCTCCTCTTCTATAAATTTGTAATGAATTGTTAATTAAAATAGATAATTAAATAAAACCATAAAAGGCCTTAAAAGTTAGGATTTTATAAATACTTTTATGACTTTCATAAGTTTTCCACATGCAAGTATGTCAAAATTACAGATTTTTCACACTCCCTTAAACTGTATTGTGCTATAGAAACAGAAAGCACACACTTGTTCAGTTCACTATCACTGTCTCAGCTGAATCAAATTCAAAAGGTCATTCTCCCAACAGGTTCACATTCCAGTCAGTGGAGTAGGTTGCTATTGAATGCTCCCCTGTTCATTCTCCTTTTGTAATCTATGGCGCATGCAAAGTCCACAGTATCCTATGTGTCAGTTAACAGATGTCGTGATAAAAACAATAACCCAAAAAAGATGTTTTTAAAATTTTTAACACTTACTATCTCTGCAGCATAAATTAGCCTTTTTTTATTTTTCACTGGCCCATTATTCATTGACGTATGAACTTCCTATTATAAAAAATAAATACTGACATGTAAATTTAAGTGTCAATGCTATTCAAAATGTCCATTTTCTGTAATATGATGTGCCCTTCAAAATTACTAGAAGGACTCAATACTGTTGGCCTTTCTCCCACTTGTTTAGATCACGGGGATTCCTATCCATTTGATGGGCCTCGAGGGACTCTAGCCCATGCATTTGCTCCTGGAGAAGGCCTGGGAGGAGATACACATTTCGACAATGCTGAGAAGTGGACTATGGGAACGAATGGTATATATGCACAATTCACCATAACCTGGAAAATATTGTACCTTCTTCTGGGCTCCATCATGAAACCTTGAGGTTCAACGCCCCAAGCCACCCTTTAACTAGGGGGGCTGGCTAGGAAAAACAAGTAAGCCAAAAATCCAAAAGGGATCACATAAGGGAAAAAAATCCACCCCAAATTGTGTTGTAGACTTGTCTGATTTGTTTCATAGCATATCATCTGAAGAACCAGTCATCCCCTTCTCAACACACTGCTCTCTTTTCCTTCAACAACTTAGTATTTATGATTTCTTGTTCTTGGAAATAGAATACATTCAGAAATGACCCGAGAGAATCAGTACTGTCCTCAGAAGTGTGATGGGGATGGGAATAAAGGTTCCAGCATATCATACAGGTCATCTGGAAATCTTCAGTGTGAAACATGTGGATCAAAAGGTGTAGGCTGTAATAGCAGGGAACTATTAAGGCATTTGTGGTCTAAATCTGTTAACTATTGCCAAATATCATTGCCACTATTTGCTCCAAGGCCTTCCTTTATCAGTCTACCAAACATCACTGATGATGAACTAAATGGATTTATGTGCATTTTTATCCTCCCCCACCTCCAACACCAGGAGGAAGAATTAAAGTCACCAAAGCTAAGTGCCAGAATAGCCTACCAACCTTCAACAATCTAGTTAGGAAAAGGAGATGAGTTAACTGTGATGTGGGCATAAATTATAAAGACAGAAGATGGAGAAAACAAAAACCTGTGTTAATACTGTTTTTTTCTTTCTCATATTGTCCAGGTTTTAATTTGTTTACTGTTGCTGCTCATGAATTTGGCCATGCCCTGGGCCTGGCCCATTCCACAGACCCATCAGCACTGATGTACCCAACTTATAAGTACCAGAATCCCTATGGATTCCACCTCCCCAAAGATGATGTGAAAGGGATCCAGGCATTGTATGGTAAGATCATTACCTTCTTTGACCACTAACCCTCAAATTGGCAGGCATTCAGTCTCCAACTTAAAGAAAGTACATTTTATCTGCATTGGTAAAGATTAATCTAGAAACCATAGCCCCAACTATGCCTTCTTGTGAAGAGCTCATTTGCCAGTTGTAAATATGTGTGTGACATGTGGTTAAATTTTACATCTTTCCTTCTTCAGAGTGTAGTAGTCCTGGATAGCCTTAGGAAATACAGTCATTTGTCTGTCTTTTTTTTTTCTTTGAGTGCAGGTCAGAATGTACACATTGGGAGAGGATGGATATAGTTTATAGTTCACATATGTGGTGCTTACCCATTTGCAGATAAGTGTGACCTTATCTTTCTAAAAATAGCAATCATAACTAAATTAAGTCCACCACCCAGTCATGTAGCCAACCTGCCATTTATGAAACAGGTTCATGTGTGTCGTCTCACATCAGCCTCACAACCAACCTGTGGGCTGTGAAGTGTTTTCCTTGATTGATAGCTGAGAAAGCTGAGGTTCAAAGGCAGTTAAGTATCCTAAGATAAGTTACCTCAAGTGTTAACATTTCTTCCAAAAGGTAATAAAGGATTATTAGAAACTCTGGATCCAGTTTTCCTTAAGGGAAAAACAAACCAATTAATCCATCAGAAGGAATCCTGAAACATCCTTAGACCTTGACAATTTTTTTTAATGGATAAAAGGCAAAAAGATCTAGGAAACTGCTTTTCCGTTAAGCCCTGGAGACCTGGTTATTAGGCTTCTGTTTATCAGAGCCTCTCCCCATATTCTCAGTGCCTAAGACCCAGATCTCCCAGCACCTTCATGGCTAGGAATCTGGCCCTAGGAGATCTGGATGATAGAAAGCCCACAAATGGGCCCACAATTCAAAATCATTCAGATTTTACCTGAGGCACAAAAGACAAATTTCATCCAAAGAAGCCTTCAGCCAGCTCTATCCATTTCCAGAAGGGGAAAAGCACCAGATCTACCCGACTCTTGAGGGACAGGAAAAACGTTGTGAATGTCTCCATGTCACAAACTAAGCTCCAGAACCTTGGTGGCAGCATTCCAATGGGAAGCAATTCCTGTGGGCCACTGAGAAGGGCTGAGCTCGAACACTTGCCTTTAGAGGTCCTTATGCCCTGGAAAGTCACTGCCTTCAGATGGCCACTGTCACTCAGCCAGGAGCCAAAGCACATATTTTGGCAGGTGAATGAAATGTTAAAACATGGGTTTACGTTACAAGGGAGCATACATATTACCCGACCGCTTGCTGCTCCTGACGCTCTTGAATTTCCAGCTTCGATCTCCTCCCGTAACCTCACCCTGCCTCTGATCTTCACCTTGCTGTTAAACCTACTCCATCCCTGATCTCAAATCTCATCTGAACCTTATCAGAGGCCTGAACCTTTCCCTTCCCTGTGCCTCATTCCTTCCCTGACTCTCACCTGTGGTTATGACAAGGCTTCACCAAAGAGCAGGGACCTGACAAAGGTGACAGTCCAAGCTGTTCAGGCTCATTCTTCTGGAGCTGGGGCACGGTCCTCAGAGATGCAGAGCAGGAGAGGAGACTCACTGACAGCTCTCACAAGAATGGGGTCTATGTTTTCCAAGAGGATCCACCAGAAGATAGCTGTAAATAGCAAATATCTTCAGTGTACTTCAATTCCACAAGAATTCACTCAGTTTTCCCTGGAAGCCTAGTAAAAGGCATAGCACAGGGACAGATGCCAAGGAATATATGAAAATCATAGGAAAACACATAAGAAAGTTATCATCTCATTGAGAAAAAAGAACTTAATTACAAAGAAATATTCCATGACAATTTTTAAATTACATTTCTAATTTGGAACACTTGTAGATATCAAAGAAGTTCTGTAATAAAATAATAGTGACTATTGTTAGAAGACTGTTTAACAGGAATTATTTAATTCTCACAACAACCTTCTGAGGTGGATACTATTATTAGCCCTCCCTTTTAACAAGTGAGGAAGCTGAGGCTTAAATAGTTAAATAATTTGCCTCGAATCACAGCTCAGCAACCAGGAGAGCCAGAATTCAAACTCGATCTACCTGCCCGCAACAGCCATGGTCATGATCATATGTCCAGCGTGAAAGTGTACAGCCTCCCCTGGGGCTCTAGAACAAAAGTGTATGAACTCCAAATGTCCAGTACCATTTTGACCAAGTCATTTTGAATCCTAGGACCTCGGAAACCATTCCTGGGGAAGCCCACTGTGCCCCATGCTCCCCCTCATAAGCCATCCACCCCTGACCTCTGTGACTCCAGCTCATCCTTTGATGCTGTGACAATGCTGGGGAAGGAGCTCCTGCTCTTCAAGGACCGGTAAGCCTGAGACTTGCCACCAACTCTCATTGGGTCTCATCTCCACTTCCAGCCAAACATTGTCCCACAGGTTCTTGTTACTGCCGTGTATGAAGATCACGCAGAAATGCTGTCCTCTGCAGCAGGAGGGTGGGAGGCAGGGGTCTTTGGAGGAGATACAGAATTGCCAAAACTACTGTTTGTGGCACACCTACTGTGGTCTTGCTGCAATGCTATGTGTTTCATATATGGACAGTATTTCTTCTAATCCTTTTCACTGTAGCAATTAGAATCCCCAATGTGCAGATAAAGAAAGCAGCTCAAAGAGAGCAAGTAAGTTTCCCAAGGTGACAGTTAAATGGCTGAGCTAGGACACCAGCCTGAATTGATCTGATGTCTGTTTTGTTTAACACTTTATCCCTAGTGAGAGTGCATAGCAAATGCTCAATAAATATTTGCTGAATGAGGGTTGGCTAGCTGAACAGATGGACAGATAGGAGATTCAATAAAAGGAAGGATGGATGATCAGATGGATAGATAGGTGGGAGGAGAATTCTGAGGCCAGCATTCTTCCTAAGCTCCTCCTTTTCAATGCCTCCAGGCCTTCCATCTGTCAGGTAGCACAGAGAAGGCAGATCCCTCTTCTCCCCCAACTCTGGTTTCTTGGGGAGCATGGCTGTTGTCTCCATGATGCTGGTTACTCTATTTACTTCTTTCCATGGAGGCAGAGAAACATAACAATGTTCACCCTATTCCTCCCTTTGCTGGAGACAGAATTCAATCACATCAGAACAGGCAGAGACATCTCAGGAGCATTCGTGTGTGGCATTATTTTTTCTTCTTCTTCACTATTGCAAAAGTGTTTACGGAGCCCATTATGGGCGTCAAGCAGTGCAGTCTTTAGGGATACAAAGATGGATTGATACCTGCCCCCTCACCTTTACATACCTCTAAGGTGTATGAGAAGGAGACTTCAAAAGCCCTGCAAGGAGGTGAGACATAAGCTCTAAAAGGCAGGGCCATGAAACAAAACATGTAGCAAGTACCTGAAAAAATCTAGAGAACGTTCCCTGAGGAGGTGACATTTGAGAAATGTGATGTTCCTTATCTCATATGCTTTGGGGGATATATTGTTGAGCTACTATTATAAGAACACTTTTTGCTCATTCAGAAGAGAGCAAAATTTACCCAGAATCCCACCACCTGGAGTTTATTAGTCTGCTGGAGCTGCTATAACAAAATACCATAGACCAGGTGGCTTAGACAACAGAAATTTATTTCTCACAGTTTTGGAGGGTAGGAAGTTCAAGATCAAGGTATTTGCAAGGTAAGTTTCACTCTGAGGCCTCTTTCCCTGGCTTGTAGGCAGCCACCGTCTTGCTGTGAGTTCACATGACCTCTTCATGTACAGAGACAAAGGGAGCAAGCTTTCCAGTATCTCTTCTTATAAATGTACTACTCCCATCATGGAGCCCCCACCCTCATGACCTCATGAGTTAGAAGTGTTCCCTTACATCACTAACCCTAATTACCTCCCGAAGGCCCTGTCTGCAAATACCATCCTATTGGGGGTTAAGGCTTCAACACAGGAATTTAGAGGACACATGACACAGAGCATTCCCATTGTTAACCTTGTTGTTGTGTGTCCCTCTAGACTTTTTATCTGGATGGAGAGCTAGATATTGTACATATGGGAGGGGGTGCAATGGTTTCCACAAAAATAGGATTTTACTAGTGGTGTTGATTTATAAACATTTTTCACTCACAAAATTTTATTTTTTCTGCCAATGAATTTTAATTCTCATCCTTTATATGCTATAAATATATAGATATATCATTATTTAATCAATCTCATACTTTTGAATACGTGGATTGTTTCTAATATTTTAAAATTAGGAACAGCTTGAACTACATCTTTGACAATAGACAGACATTCATACTTCAAAGGCAAATTAAAGCTGAGCCTGGGAAGCCAGGCTTTCACAGCCAACTCAGTGGGCTTAAATTCTGGCCCTACCACTTACTGATGAGGTGATTCCCCAACAAGTAATGTGCCAGAAACATAGTGTCAATAAATGGCAGTTACTATTTTTAAGAGTGGGAATCAAAAAATATTTACGATGGCAGGGAGAGTTATAAACAACTTGAGATATTTAAAGGACCCAATTAATTATTTTGTGTTATTAATTTTCTGACAGTGTTTTTTATTTTTAAGACACTGGCCATTTATGTTCTTTTTATTGAGTATTACCAGAAAGTACACCAAATGGAATTGGTAGGCAATGACCCAGGAGTGGTAGACAAGGCAGGGCAAGAGGAGCTTGGAGCACAGATCTAAGTAACCTTGGCTTCATCTAAGGGATGCCATTGTCAGAGTCCATACTCTCAGACACTGAAATGGCATGTAGCACTCATTCAGTGATAAAGCAGTGAGGAGCCAGCCATCATGCAGGACGTAGCTTATTCTTTTGGTAAATATCAGAGGTTGCAGAGGGGGCAAAGGAGGCAGTAAAGTCAAAGATATGATACTATTTCATTCAATTATCATTGTTTTCTTTAAAAAGCAAAAAAAAAAAAAAACCCCTCTGTTTATCAAACTGTGAGCATTTAGCAATTGCTAATGACTACTTAAAGTTGATACATCTTTTGACACAGTCTTGATTATAAATACTGAGGGTGATAACAGACTAGTAAGTGAGGCATAGATGCAAGAGATGTCTAGAAATGAAAAATCAGCAGAGGGACTACAGAAGGAGAGATGGCCTGCTACCACATATCTGATTAGTCACCACCTCTCATCTTCTTCCATTTCAGGTTCAGTGAGCTATCGGGGTAGGACAGGTAATTCCAAAGAACTAGAACAAGCTATAAACAGGATAGGGAGTCAGGAGCACTCCCTTCTAGCACTGGACTTGCCACTAACTCACTGTGGCACCTGGAGCTTCTCTTCATTTTCTATAAAGTGAGGGAGTTGTCTATCAAAAAATGTTCAGTACTTACTATGTAAAGCACTATGTTATCACATCCTTATAATTCCCCTGAGTGGCATGAAGTATTAATCCTTTTACAAGTCATAGAAAGGATAAGCAACTTGTTCAAGAGTACATAGCTAGTGAGGAGTGGAGCTGGAATTGAAACCCAAATAGCAAACTTCAGAGCCTGTACTACCCTGCCGTACTGCCTCCGAAGGTGCTGTCCAGAGCTGGAATCCCATGACTCTATAGCTCTGATTCCCTACCAGCTGCTGCTAAAAGTCCCAGAGTTCAGTACTTGCTAAGCCTGGACAAAGAACAAAGAATTCTTTCAAGCCACAGTTATAATGGCAACCAGGGAGCCAATGATTATGAAAGAGCTCCCAGTCTGCTCTCTCCCACTTACCAGCCTGGAATTCCCCATCGCCAACAATAATCTGTTGATGGGACATTTCAAGCTGTGGGCATAATAACCACATGGTTTGTTTCCAAAGCAGGATGGAATGCAGTACCTTTTAAAGTCACTGTGAGATTGTCAGATATTCTCCATGGCATATAAATGTACATTCCAATGTTCTGTGTGAAGAGAAATAAGCATTAGCTATTATAAGTTGAAAGGCATAGAGAGAGAGAGAGATAAATATACTTAATGAACATACACTTACTTTTTATAATAGATGACAAAATTATTAAAGCCATATCAGATTTGCTCTGTCACTTAGGGAAAATAAGAGAGTGAAATTGTAGCCATAACAAAATTATATTTGGAACTGTATCCATACCAAAATTATATTTGCATCTGTCATATTATCTTGGGTTTTACCCAATATAATTTTAAGAATAAAATCAAGAATATCACTATCATCTATAAATCTTAGAAGCATAATAGATTTTACAAATGGAATAAGCATAAAGGTTGATCATGTCCAGATCCTTCACTGTAGAGATAAGGAAAATAGGTCCAGGTCTCTCAGCTCCAGCAGACCCTCCAATGAGACCCAAGTCTTCTGACTCCAGTCCAGAGTCTATCCTATCACTAATACAGAAAGCTTTCTGGCTGTGAAATGGATCTACCAAGAAAAGCATTGATATTTAACCTGAATGACCATATGCCCGCTGACTGTTACACACTTGAGTTAGCAGGAAGAGCACTTCCGAGCTGTTCCTTTGCTTCCGTGCCCTCTGCTTGCAGGTGGGGTAACCAGCCGCAAAGATAAGGATGTTCATAGACTCTAGGTTTCCCAAGAATGTCTAATAGGTTTCTTCACATCTGGGCTTTTTTTCAAAATAGGACTCTCTATGTATATATTTTTAATGTCACGAATTGTCACATTTTAAAAGATATTATGCATCTGAAATTAAAGGAAAAGAAAAATGTTTTTAAGGGTTATGCAAGTAGGAATTGGAGAGAAGAATGGATGTATTCATAAAAGGCATTCTGAGGACTCACCAGCAGGATTAGAGAAGAACAATGGAATAGTTTTTCTCTAACAATGGAAGAACAATGGAAAAGGAAGAGTTAAAGCAGATAGGAGCCTCATGGCTGAGAGTATAATATACAGTATCGTTCACTTAGAAAAATTAAGAGGATTTGTTGGGCACATGATGTAAAACTCAGGGTTAGATGTGTCAGATTTAAAGCAATGACAATTTTCATGGAGTTCCAAAGAAATAAGCTAGTGCCCAGGGAAGAGGTCATAGCTGGAGGCTTCATGGGTTTTGAATCTCCCACATGAAGGAGATGGTTAAAGATATGGAGATGAAAAACAGCTCTGAAGAGAGACTGAGGAGAAAAAAAAAGTCTGAAGATTGAGCCTAGGAAATGGGAGAAAAGGATTCAATAATAGCCAGAGAGATGCAGCACTTTGAAAATCATAACAATAATAATAGCCAATGCTTCGTGGTCATTTGCAATGTGCTATGTGTTGTGCTAAGCATTTATTTTACAGACATTCACTCATTTAATCCACACTGCTATTGTTCTAGGCCATAATTATAACTTAGTTCTGCTTGACATCAGAGACAAAATCCCTGTGATGGAATCCCAAA